TTCTACTTGTTTATGCCAGAGCATAAGTATGCAATTTAATCTATATAAAGCACCAAGTGGAATCATTAAAGTCCCTAGAATATCACTAGAAGTTTAATAGATCTTTTTGTATATTTAACTTTATATTTATTATAGAAATATATAAAGAAATAAATATAAAATATATAATAATATATTATAATTCAATATATTATAATATATAAAATTCTTTATATAAAATATAAAAAAAAATTTTTTTTTTTGAGATAGCAGTATTTATTCCATAGTTTGATTTTAATAAAAAATTAGAGATAAAAGATAAGGAAATGTTTTATTAAATAGAATCGTATCATTTAAAATAAATATAATAACTTTCCTTTTTGCTTTTTTTTTTTAAATTTACGAAAATAAATTTTTCACTTAGATTTCTCAATTGTTGGCACGATTGAATAAATTAAATCGAGTCATTTATGTTCTACGTAAAGGGGAAGCGTGAGCAGTAATTGGAAGTTCTTGTCCTCTTTCACTCGAAGAATTTTGGAGAAATTCGCAATCGTGAAAAGCGAAAGCAAATTGTAAATAGCAAAAAAAAAAAAAAAAAAAATTAGTATGATTATTTTCAAAACAGGATCGAGCACTTTTTGTTTAAAATAAAATTTTGAAATACATTCTAAAATTCTTTTCTTTGAAAAGTAAATTATTTCTCATAGTCGATAAATTTTAATAACCGTGTTATCCATAGTGCAACACTTAAGATATAAAATCTACATACTTAATTAAATGTAAATAGGTTAAAAAAACAAGGAGCACGATAAAAGAGAAAATATAATAGAACTCTGTTTATGAATATGATTTTTATGATTATTATTTATCATTTTTCGTTCAAATAATTGGAGTTTATGTTCACAAATGGATTGCAAAATCGTATGCTTCAATACTTCAAATTTTTCAGAAAGTGTATGTATTTTTCTCTTCTTTTCGATTAATTTAATGCCATACTTTTACATTTTTATAGAAACTAACACGAAAAATTATATTTATTTATATTTGATGTCCGTCTTCGTATAATAATACATAAATAATAATTTATATAATAAGAATCCACAATAAATCCTAATAATCCTAAATAATCACTCATTAAAATTTCGTTTATATAAACTGTAATAAAACTTAATTTTTCTTAAACTAAAACGTTATTTAATTATTTTAACAAAAGCAGAAAATTTCTTCTTCGATCCCATAAATATAACTATAAATGAACTACAAAACAATTTATTTTCCATAATTCAATTCTATATTTCCTTATATACACTTTTCCTTATATATACGGAATAACTTTCAAAACAAATTTTCACATTCGCTTATTATCCGATTTTAAGCACGATTTTGGATGCATTTGGATCAAGAGGGGTGGTTCAATATCGCCCTGTTTTCATCCACGTTTCGAACCGGTCCACGTTCCACCGGTACCTTTATCGTCGATTTAATTTACGATCATTTCGATTGATACGCTCTTTAACTGGACGTTTTGCAATTAACCGGACGCTCCAAATATCGGGTTGGACGCGCGCTGCGATCGCTTAATAATAAATCGGCGATAGGTTCCAGTTCCGTTCGAACGACCTAAATAAACAGTTTTCTCGATCATCGGTTGACAATTATGACAGGAGCGTGTGGGCAATGCGTTGATCGGGGTCATTGGGACGTGGTTGCCACGAAGAAATGTCCAATGCAGTTTGGATAATGATCCAACGACGGGACGCGTGGAACGCGGGATAATTGAAGTGGGTGCCGCATGATTAATTAACGTGCTTCCTCGACAATCGATCGCCCCCTGCCATAGGACGAGATGAAACCAGTGAGCGCTGTGATCGTGGCTCTTTTTGAGCCTCTTGAACTCGGTTATCAATCGGGGAGAAAGTCGAGCGTAAATTGGTAAATTGACGATCATTTTGAAAATTGTTATTTGGGGGATGAGTCGTGATATTTGAAGCGGGAATAAGTAATTTATTTAACAGAAATAGATAATTTTAGTAACAAAAATCAATTATCTCGATAAATGATGAAATTTTGGATTGCTAGAAAAATTCTATAAGATAATCAATTTCAAGTGGTTCGTATTGTTTGTGATAAATTTATTTTATAATTGTGATAATCTTGTGTTTGAAAAATGATCTACTGAGATTAGAAATTTTTCAGATATTCATATTAGGTATATAGATTTAGATATATATTAGTATTTACAAAATTTGATTTAATTTCAAATTATAAGATAAAATCATCTTAGAACGAATAATAAAATTAATGTACATAAATTCAATAGATCTGGAAAAAATTTAAATGATTTTGAAAACTATAATACATTATGAACTATACATTATAATTAGAGTACTGTAATTTTATATTTTCATTATCACAATTGGAATAAAATCTAAATAAAGATTTCATTTTTCTATAATATCACAATGAGTATTTTATTTTAGATAATTATAAAATATTTTATATATTTTTGTATATTATAAATATTCTGCAAACTTTCATACATTTAATTTTTTATAAATGTATAAATATTTACAGCTTAGTAAATTGATTAGTCAACGCCTAGTAAACTGACCTAGTAAACGTATTTATATATTATTTTTTTATCCACTTAATAATGGAACAACAATTAAACCAATAATTAAAAAACAAGAAAGAGATAAAGAAAGAAAGGAAATATTATATTTTGAAAATAAAATATTTTGTAAATGTATTTAGTATAGTACATTTACAAGAATCATAGATGGTTAATAAAAATTAGATTAATTCTATTTCTCGAAAAATTCTTAATTTTAACCTAGAATAATCTAGAATAAATAATATTCTAATAATTATTTAAATTTTAAATTCAATATATATATATATATATAAATAATATTATTTTTAAATTCAAATTATCAAAGCCAGCCGTAACTTGACAGTTCAAATATAAATTATCCAATAATTTTCTGCCTACGTTACCGATAAAATGCGTCAGCGATAAGCGACAAAAAATTGTCCGAATATAGGGAATAGATCATTCTTCGCATATACTTTTACTTAATTGCTATTCAAGGTTGTTTGGTATTTTTTACGATCGTTTATCGAGAAAATGGGAAACACAGAAAGCGGAGGCCACGTTGTCGCGTTGGCCCCGTTATCAACGAACGGAAAATGTCGTCGAAGAACACGGGCTTATACGATCGTTTGATAAGACTAGACATTACTATCCACTCAGTTTGCACCGACTAATCAACTATTCTGCAAATACATTTCTAATTGCGAAAGTTGTCAGCGAACAACTTTCGCGTCTTCCAATTAATGGTTACGATTCAATCTGCACTATTATGGAATGTAAATGAGATTTCAGTAGTTTTAAAAGTCGCGATAGAAAAATAATCGTTGCCATTGATGGACATATGTGCTTTCGAAGTAGTTTAATTTATGCGGTACACTTCGGTCGGCATTGCAGGAAACTTGTTTGGATCAGGTGACGCTAGACGGCACCACAAGACTAGAAAATCAAGTTACCGATCCTTCGATCGAGATCTATGAAGATTCCTTTTTTTAGAATATTATATAGTTTTTTTATATATAATATTTTTCATTCTCTTAATATATAATAATAGTAAGTATTTAATGTAAGTTTCGGTTTTTATGCTGAAAGTTTTTATTATTAAAAAATTAAATAAAAAAAGTTTTATTATCGACGGAACATTCGTCGATAAAATAGTATGGATCTATAGATTATTCTAACATCTTTTTTTTAAATTTTCTTCATTATTTTCAATTGTACTTGATGAAAAAAAAATTAAATTTTTTATTCAAATTGAAATATTCTCGTTTCAAAATCACATTTGTAACAGTGATATACATGGCTTACTAGAATGGACACATTAAAACCATTTCTCATATCTTTTCTATCCATCTAAATCTGAAAGTCATCGTTACACATTCGATTGTTAAATCGATCTAAATGAAATCTTTATCTTCGATCAAATTCAATCTACGAGGTATCTAATAACCATAATAACGCCTTCCTTGAGACCAAATACTAATATAGTTTCTCCTACTTTTTCATTATTTTTTTTTTTCTCTTTCTCTTTAAACGAGACACATGTATTTTTTCTTCGATTAATCCGACCGGTAACACAAGAGGAAGTTTGCGAAACTCATAGTGATCCTTGCAATCGACTACAAAGAAATCTTTTATTATCTTTCAGTCATTTCGACCGCCTCTTGTCGGGAATTCTTCCGTATTGAACCGTGACGAAAGGCTCGATGAGACGTGAAAAAAGTGAAATCTCTAGACATATATGGGTCGATTCTGAGCTGCTTTCGATCCCATTATTTGAAACAGTTAGCGCAACATTCGTGTCAAAGCTTCTATAAAATATCTATCGGACTTGTGCTTCGTAATTATTATTCTGCTTTTCAGATCATACCGAGATTGGTACAATGAAAATGATTGATCAATAGAATACATTGCACTATCATCTATTAATCAGTTTATATGGTCACAAAAGTCTTCACTTTATCTTATGCAAATTTAACTAACATGTTATTTTATCAAAATCAATAATAATTCTGTTTTATATGAAACATTGTAAGTATAATGAATTATATGTATATAAAGTAATTTTTTATTTGAAAAATGTAATTTTAAGAGTTAATTAAAATCAACTATTACAATTTTAATGCTATATTATCCTTTTGTAAAAAATAATTTGGACAAAATTATATTTAAAACATAGAAAATAATAAAAATTTGAGAATTATTTCAACTTTCACTCGCTACGTACAAAATCAAGATTTTTAAATTAAATAAATTTTCTTTTAAAAGAAAACTTTTATGACAAATTTTAAGCCAGTTTGATCAAAACACTTTTGATTATAATTTGTTTTTGGATTTTTTTTTTTCTAAAATAATATAAATATCAAAACTGAACAGATACAATTTATTACTAAAAAAAAATATAAAGTGCACTCACTAGTGTACTCACCATCGACGTGAAATAGAATTTCTCGAATTCCCTCTCGTGAAGTCGCGCCGCTGTCAAGTTCGTCGCCGCGTGTTGCCCGTGTTTCGTGAGCACGTCCTCGCCTTTTTTGCAAAACCAAGATAACACCTGCAATCGTAAAATGAAATTAACAAAAAAGTAATTGAATGAATGAAAAGTAGACGTAAAACAAAAAAAAGAAAAAATTATGAAAACTGGTTTCTTTTTTTTTTTTTAATTTAAAAAATATTATAAATAAATGAGGCTTTAAAAATATCTTTCAGAAAGAAAATTGAACAAAAATTTTTTTCGCTCATTAAACGTTATATTTAATATATTTTAATACAGAAATGAAAAAAAAATTTTTTATTCAATTTACGTTTTATTTATAAATCAAAAATAAACGTACATACTTTTCTGTTAAATACGTTTTTTGATGTACTGCACAATTTTAATATCTGATTAATTTGTGATAAAAAATTAACCTTTAAAGTAAAGTAGAATTTTATTTTTTGTTCTTAATAATAAAAAATAAGTAATAAATTGGCGAACGAGGAATAAATTTCAAAGAAATGATCACAACACAGCAACGTTGAAACTTCACTATGCACTACTATTTGCAAATTTTCTAGCATACAGAGTTTAACATGGCAGGACAGTGAGTAATTAACGTCCGTCTGGATTGCTTAAATAATTAAAAACGATCGTGGCCGTTCCGTGTTCGACGAGTGGAGGTCTGGTTATTTATGAACGTCATAGCGGATTTCGAGTGAAACGTTTGAATACACGACACATGTTTTATGTGCTCCTATGCATTCCCGCGATAAATACACTTCTCGTAAAGTCAAATTCGAGTAATTTATTAACAAATGTAAAGGAAGGGAAAAAAACATTTATCATCTTTTTAACTTTTCTTTCTTTTTTATTCCAGACGGTTAAAGTATTTATAAAACGTAAAATTAAAATATTTATTATGACAAGACTACAAATATTTATGCGTTTAAAAGAAAACTACACCAAATAAACATAATGCAAAAATATAACGTAAAATATTCATTATAATATTCAGAGGATGAATTAAATTTTTATTTAACTGTCGTTTTTTTCTTTTTAGATATTATTATATACTTTTTAAACATTAGAAATTATAAATTTAAGAATTTACATAAACGTATTATGGAGAAGATTTCGAACATTATCAATTTTAATTATAAAAATAAATTACCAATATTTTTATATATACATAATATATATACATAATTTTATCATTATATGAATTAAACGCTATTAGATATAAAAAAAATTTCATATGATAAGTGAAATCTTAAATCATTTAACAAATATGTTTTCAAAATTCTACAAATTCATGATTTCTTTTGATAATAAAAAGTCAATTTTCGTATCAATATCTCATTAATGCGAAAATTGGCATTCTATAATCCATTCTTATTACCTCATAAAATTCACCATTATTTATTTCCTCTCACAGAAGAAAAAAAAGAAAACAACAAAATTTACTTAAAATATCTTATATTATATTTTTCTATTTTTCGAAATATATCTACAAACTTTATAAACTTTAACTTTTCAAATAAATAAAATCATTAAGTCCTACGTTAGCCATTTAAAAATTAAATCTCCCTTTTTTTTTTTTTACTAAATAAAAAATTTTAACCAAAGGAGAACAAAATTTTCCATCCACTAAAATGCTAATCTTCATATCTACATCCATCTGTCTAGTATCCTCGATCGCAATATCACGTCGAGCATACATACGTCTGCTGTTTCGGCCGATAATTAGATCGCTGACACAGGCGCGTCACGCTTGATTAATGATTCGTCGTCGTTGACGAGAATGTAAAAAGTGCGCGAGAATAATTAACAGGAGCAGCCGGAGGAGAGATGGAAGGAGGAACGCAGGAGCGTCCTTGCTTCCTCACCTTTGTCGTCCTCGTCATCGTCGATGACGAAAAATCGACGAAATACGAGGTGAGAAACTCACATTGAATGAAGAAACGATTGGGATCGCGAGCAATGTAGCGTTTTTCGGGTCACTGGGCCGCGTTAGTTGGAAAACGATTGGGCAGAGGCGTGTACGCGCGAGAGGAACGCAGCAAGCGGAGGATTAATTCGCCGCGATTTGGCCGTTTGAAAAAGTATGCCGGTAATTGCGAGCGGCCGGCTGCTGGAAGATGGTTAGCGAGAGATGGATCACGGAGAAGCGGGAGAATCGAGTAGAAAGTTAGTGAGAACGTTAGTGAGCGGTTGTTGCACGTTCGAGCGCTTTTGATCTGTGAACCGAAGTTTTCGATATGGGTGCACATATTTTGTATTATTTACAAAATACATATATATCGTAAAAAAGAGAATTAAAAATGGTATTAAAAGTTGGATTGACTTTAAGAGATCGACAAAAATAGAAGGAAAGTTAGAAAGTTAAAAATAAATTGTAATAAATGATAATAAATAAATGATAGATAATGATTTATAGGAAAAAAAATAATAGAAAAAATTTCTGTCTGAATTTAACAATACTCGAGACACGATTGTCTTTGAAATGTTAGAAGCGTTTTATTCTAAAAAAAACGAAAACTAAGTTTTGAGTAATTAGATTGTCTCATTGGTCGAGATATAAAAGGAAAAGTGTTGCAGTCATTGAGAAAATTATTGTAAATATAATAAATAATTAACCACTGTTATGATTTCAATAAATTATATAAAATAAATGTATCATTTAACGATTAGATTATTTTATAGATTAGTATTATTTTTATTTATGGTATTTTTATTTATTTATTATTTTTCTCTAATTAATTTATTATTATTCATTCATTTATTATAATTTATTTTTATACAATAAAGATAATTATTAACTTTTTTCTTTACTTTTCTACTGTCCTTCATTCGCTCTTTGTCAATTTCTTAAGGTCGAATCTTTTAGTAGTCTTTTTTAATTTACATTTTTATGATTTGTGATATGTACTTTCGATTTATATAAAAAAATCTGTGAAATTCTATCATCAATAGTGTTTCTTGTTAGATAATGATAATAGTGTTAAAAATCTTCATTCTCATGATATGTTATTACGATTCTATTAGATTTTCTGATTTGGATATATGTACGTAAATTTGTTACGTTGTAGAATGTAAATAAATGTTATTATATATACGTCATTGAACACTTAGTACATTTAGTACTTTACAAAAAAAAAAAAAAAATAATAATAATAAAATAAATGAGAATTCAAAATAAAATATTGAAATTGAAATTCATTTTTCATGTATGTATTATTAGAAAAACTAATTTACAAGCAGTGTCATTATATAATAATATTTTAAATATTATAATATCTTAGATAATGGCTTAAATAGTAGTTTAAATAAGATGTAATAATAAAATTTCGCCAAATATAATATTTTCATTTTAACAATTTGAACCACAAAATAATATGATTTTTTTCGATTTATTCTTTGATCTATTCTTATTGCTTGCTTATTATAATTTTCAATATACAATGAATAATATACGTTTCATACAATTTTAATATACAGTGAATATATATGTAAAAGAAGATTAAGAAATTATATATTATGTACTTTATACTCATAAATGAACCATTGCTTTCAACAACAATATTTAAAATAAAGGAAATAAATTAAAATAAACAAGATATTTTAAGGCAAAATATTTTTGATATTCTTCAATGAAATATTATTTTAAAAATTTATCAAATAAAATATTTTATTTCTTATTTCAAGTTATACTTTAAATAAAATTATTTACTATTTATTTCAGCTCTATTTTCAAATCATTGAAGACATTGCAATTATTACATATATTCAAAATAAGATTAGGAGAAAGAGGAATATAACGTTATAATATTTTTAATTATAAGAATAAATAAATGTTTATAAGTACAAAACGAAAGTGATATTTGTTATGATATAAAAGAAATATGCATTCTTTATTATTTTATTTTAATGAACGTATATTTAAAATTGTATATCAAATAACGAATTCAGTGATTCGAATTTAATTTTTGAAAATACAATTCAGCAATAAATTTGAAGAAGTTGTCAATTCTTAAATAAAAAATTAATCAGAAATTTCTTGAACGGCATTCATTCAACACATCACGTCCAATAATCATAAATTCATTCCTGACTTCATTCACTGCTAAGAAAATAACCTTTAACTACCAACTATTCTTCGGCGAATCAATAGTTACAAAGCTATTAAAACCCAGCACTTTTCTTCGATATCCCGTTAGCACCTTCAGCACTGGTGTGGTATGCTTTAAACTCATTGTTAGGCATACCACAGTTATTATTAGCATTGTTCCAGACGATATTTAGTAATGTGAGTACAATAAAAATCGTTTTGAAACAAAAATTCACTTACATAACATATCTTAATAATTCTTCTTTACGTTCTATTCAATGCAAATGAAATCTTTTCTTTTATTTAATTATATTATAACACTGATATACATACATGTATAGTATATTACACGTTTTATTTTATGTCTTATTTTATGAACGAACTTTACATGTTCTATATTTTGATTTCTCAATACCACGTACTCAAACATGTATAAACTTTTAATTTTACAAAATTAAAACACATAAATAGACAACAAATAGAAATCTATACGATTCTGAAAATGTTTCAGAAACGTATATGCAACAAAGTACTTTATATATATTTATATTTATATAAAACAAATATTAAACTTTAAAACTTGAAAAAAGAAGTCATTGTCAACAAATTATTAAATTTCATATATCTGCAATTTTATTTTTCAATTTTTAAATATCTATATCCATTGAATGCTTCAAATATTATACAAAACAATTAATCTAGATTCTCCTCATTATTATCAACATATATATACAAATATATATGTAATAATTTTCTTCAAATCTTTTTTCATTTTACATAATAATTTTTCCTCTTTATTACAGACAACTTATTATTACTATTATTAAAATAATCGACATGACTTCTTTCATCCTTCCATCAAAGACAAGTTATAAATATTAAATTTTTAATTATTTTCTGAATTATTCGTTTAATAGTTAAACAACTACCACCAAAAAAAAAAAATTCATTTTTCCACGTAACGCAA